ATGATGATACATTAATGTATTGTTCTGGTTATTTAGTAAAATTCGACGCAATATTTTCTACAACAAAAAATGTGTCATTAATTAATTGCGCAATAACGGAATGTTTTCCAAAAAATTCAAAAACTAGAGATTAAATGGAATTACCTCATCGGACTACAGTAGCTATCTTATCAGTTATCATGTTACGCGTAGTGTTGTATTTACTGATATAAATTTGCGGTTATTTACCTTTGATTAATTAGTTTGCTCATCGGACTTTATTGTTGTGTTTTGAAAAAATATGACGTCAATTTTTGGATTCACAGATTAACTCGAAAGGTTAATATGTATATCTGCGTTTACTTTAACGACTTAGGTAAAAATGCGCAGAGAATTTGTCCTTTCAGCTGTAATGTTTTGAGCGGAATCCGGAAAGACCCATATAGCCCGGTGCATTATTTGGTGTGTTAGACTGGTTCGCTTCTTTCCTACTTTTCTTCGTTCTTTCTGCTTCTCTACATTCCTAGATAAGATGCTCTTATTCTCCTCCCCTTTCTTCTACTCTCCATCTTTCATTTGTTCTTCCATATCGGAATATCGTGATATTTTGTCTTTCCCGTTAGTATCAATCCTTATTGATCCGCATTTCTTCGCCGATTTCTCTCTCTTTCTCTTTCTTACTTCTATCGTCGTTTTGAGAGCCTTGCGTCTCGTCTTTATTCTAATCTTTTCTTGTCCTACTCTTTGGTTTGGTGAATTTTTATATTTATCATTGACGATCAATTCATGCATACATTGCTACAGAATCGAAAATGTGATTTCAGCTTTTGCCTAAAGATGATAACAAAATCTAAATTCCGTTCAGACGTTTAGCCGGAAACATGTATTTCCGTCAAAAAAGGAGGGGAGTTCTTTTTTACCCGAATACAAGAGATAAAAACAAGACAAACACAAAACAAACGAATTTGACACATCCCATGTGCCACTTTTTTTGTGGAACTTTTTTTAGATACAGGGTGAAAACAAAAAGTTTGACTTTTTGGAATGTTATATCTTGCTTCCCATATAAACTTCCTAGTTTAGATATTTCTACGTAGAAACCAGTGACGTATCCAACCAAAATTTGTGTACCACAGTTTCTGATGAGATTTGACCCAATGTTGGTATTTTTTAAACGAACACCCTGTATATCTTAACGTCGATTGTTATTAACTCTTTTTCTTGATTACATTGATGTGTTTTTTTTATTTCAGTCATGAAAACCTTATTTTTGTAATGTTCATAAATAGTAGGCCATGGATGCACGGAGATTTTGTTTTATATATTGCATCCATGGTAATTAAGACAGCCGATACTAATCAATAGAAATGAGTATCTCAAAACTTAACTTTTCCGCATGGTAGCACCTGTTGAGGCCCAGCACTTTCCTTTTAATCTAATTACTTCTCATGCATCTCTACCTAATCGATGTGGCAATTAATAACATGAATGTTCAATTTGCTTGCAGGTACATACTGCTAAAATTTCACAAAAATCAGTACTTCTTCTTAGTATTTCTTCTTTTTATGTTTACAATATTTTCATTATTTTACTTTTGCATATGCGCGAAAGCAGATTTTGACATGTTAAATACAATCCATCGAGTTGCTTTTATTAACAGCTGCTACTGTTAAAATTTCAGTAAAATTGGTTCATAAATAAAAAATTCACCTCTGCGCAATCGTACGCACGTGGATTTTCCACAAGCTTAATGTAATGGATCGATTGACTCGTACCAAAAGGTGCTACTGTTGAAATTATAGTAGGAAAGATCTGCCCAAAAATAAGAAATTTACCTCTGCGCCTACGTGCGCACGGAGTTATCGTGCTAACAAGACGGACAAGAACTACAACAACGGACAGCGAACTTTTTTCTGTGATGAAAACAATAGTTTATCAACCCTATGGGTCCGGAAAAGTAAAAATAGATGACGGACATTCAAAAATTTGCAAAATATGGCATAATATATTCTAATAATCTAATTATATTAAAAAATATAGCTTGCGATACATCAATGTAATCAAAGTTTTTTTACTACACCACTGTCATCTGCAAAAAGTATCTAAAATAGTCAGTTTTTACCTTTCTTACATTACCTTACATGAGCAGTAAGATATAACATCGCAAAAAGTCAAACTTTTAGTTTTCACCCTGTATCTAAAAAAAACGTAGTTAAATTGATTATGATTGTGGTATTAAATGTTTCACAAAAAAGTGGCGCAGGGTGGCGAAAACCGTAAGTCTTTATCTTTGAAAACAGCTGAGATACACTGCAGTCTCAACCAGAATAGGACATACTGTACAATGGATATGACGAAGCCTCTACAGCAGTGTGCGAAAAGAACCAAGAAATCTTAAAATTAAGCCATGCGGGTCAGAGGCCCAATTCTATTCGCCTGTAAGGAACCAATGAAGTAAAATAAACGGCGACGGTATAAGGTATGATAAACAAAATTTGGATTCAGCGAAAACCGTAGAAATTTTAGGTCAGGTCTCATTAATTAAGTGGACAGCTCCCGTCCAATGGTGCATAACAGTATGATGTTACCTTATGATACAGGAAAGGGTAGTTTGACGATATGGAATGAAAGGGATAAACGGATGAATTGTTTTAAGTGTTCTGGTGGACATTTTTATGGCGACCGAAGAGATAGAGCTACCTTGTTTCCTATCATGCAAAGAGGAGTTAATGTTGGATCATATATTTACTCTGATGAATGGCCAGCATGTGGATCAACTGGGATATTTGCATTCAACAAGAAAATGATGTGGACTCAAAAATCGAAGCAAGGCATTGAAAGATCCTGGTTAGCCGCACAAGTTAGAATTTTGAAGAAAATGAGAGGTGTTCCTGTCCACACACAATCACATTTGGACTATGCTGCATGGAAAGTTTTGGGAAGAAATGCACATACCAAGTTTGTTGCTTTTCTTTATCACATTAGAAAAGTATATGGTTAATTTTAGTAGATTTTTAACTCTTATACCTATCATTGTATATAATTATACTTGATCGCTAACCGCTTATTGAACTATACTACTACATCAAACGTAAGACTATAGCCAGTGGCGGTCCTAGGATTTGGTAAAGGGAGGGACCCAAACCCGAACTTTGTCCCAACACGGAAAAAAATAAAAGAAATCTCGCATAATGGAAATGAGATCGACACAAAATTGATGAAAAAAATGGACGTAGTAAACAAATTTCCTTATTATTCTGCATTTCCTTGTCATTCTTGAATATTATATTACATTTCCTTAATCTGTTCTACATGAACATAGACTGCCGACGCGTTATCCCTTCAGAAAACTTCGCAGCATTTTTGTACAACCTTGCTTTTCAAAAACGTTTTTGGGAAAGGTTCAATTTTCGCAAGCATGCGGACGCGTCTGCCGTTTACAAATATGCATCCGGTACTGAGAACTGTTCACTTTCAGCAAGATGGAGTTCCGTCACATTATGGTTTGTATTTTAGCAGTGGATGAATCAACAATCTTTGTGGACTTTTGTTAATGTCAATGACGCACTTTTCCAAACTATTGTCTGTGCACTATAGTGGGCAAAATTTTAAGCACTTAATATCCAATCAAAACATGAAATGTGTAAAATCATTTATTTTGTATCTGTCTGGATTTTTTAAAATGAATTCATACCCAAGCCATCCAAAAGAGAATTTTATCGGATTTAAAATGAGGCGTCGCATTTTACAATTTATTGTAAAGGGAAGCCAGTTGGGGTGATAAAATAAACCTTCCGTCAAACTTCGTAGTAGGAATAACATCTTCTGCACTTCTTCTGTACCTATTAAGAACAGAGATGAGTCTTAAATGTAACAAACTGTGTGATTAAAATGGCTGATTGGAAAACTTTTTTAGTCGTAATTAAAATATACCTAACTAATTAGTAGATAAATTATCGATTTACCCATCCACATTCAAACAATGCAAAATCGCTATAAAAGTTTGAATATCTTGCGCAGAGAAGTACACGGATCATAATTTCGGGGAGGAATATATATATATATTCCACATGAAAAAGTGCTAAAACTCGATAAAAGAGCCACACGAGATCCAAGGTAAATTATATCATTACAATAAACATCGAAACATTTTCATGTAATGGCCTCATAAAGGCCATAAAAGCATATAAAACCAGAATATCATCTGGTTATGTGAATGGTTGTGCCTACGACGCTCCCTCGCGTATGGATTTGAAGGATCGAAATGGACTGTTTTTTATGAATCCTCTAATGTAAGTACGATTAGAAATTCGCGAAACAAATTAGATGTCATCTCATAAATGCATGATTGTGTTATATTGGAACTTTGCCATGCTGTTTATCGATTATATCGGTCATAAAGCAAACAATTGAAGATAGCGTATCAGTGAAGTGCTTCCCAGTAGTTTTAATACATAATTGTCAACGCAACGGCGGGGCCTTTGAAATTAATTAATTCATTTTGGACTAATATCTACAAAATGATTCATGTTTGTGTAAATTTGAGTTAATGTCTCATTGAAATTTCAGTTTTCAACACTTAGTCGGAGTGTGTTCATGTTCTATAAAGTTTAACCTGTAGGTTTGGGAACAAAATTAGTTCTAAATGTAATTTCACGTTAAACACGGAGAAACAATTTTCTACGATTGTAGTAACTTCGCTCTAGTAGTATTTCAGATGAAATTTAGCACTCGGTAGTAACGTAGAAACCCACTCGTTAATCAGAATCGATAAACTAAACGTTTACGTTTACGCGTGCAAAATTAGGTTGTACCTACCTACCTACCATTAATAAGTGCCGAAAATAAACGAGACGAACCTTGATATTAAATTTAAGTCAAGGGGCAAAAGTGAATTCTACTTTCTAACAACCGGCATTGAAAAAAACGACAAATAAATGCAATTATGAGGCAATAATAAGTCATTTTTTGTAAGTATATCACAATGTATGTAGTTGAAAAAGATTGTAGTGAGTACTTACTATTTTTGGGACCGATCCAAGGTTTCAGTTGAAAGGCCATCATTTTCTCGATTGAAAGGGTGTAAAGATGGAAGAGATATTGTACCAGAGTCGTGCAGTTCTGAAAATAAAATTTGTGTTATAAGTATAGTCCACTGCCTCTCGTATATATTACAAATCTAGTTAAAACAAAATTTGTTTTTTAATTTGTTTATGTATTTATCATATACTGTTAATTTGTACTTAAATCATCGTTATCATATCTTTATGTTGTAAATTTCACGTATTTTTGTCCTATAATTGGCGCATATCTGTTGGGCAATAAAGAAATTATTATTATTATTATTGTTAACAAAATAAGTATATTGCATTAAATGCCTTTGTACCACTTATGGATTTGCCCTCGGATAACTACTTTCGTCTCGACTTTCGTTAAAACGGAATGCTGTACTGCCCTTCTGGTTTCCAAATAAGCTCGGCTAGGATTTACTCGGCATACGTCTCTTAAGAGGAATCTTCCGATCGATTCAAACAACTCTTATTAGAAGCCAGTTGACTCTTTTGGCTATCACGGAGTCAATCGTGTTTGAGTCAGATCTATAGGCCTATAGTACGAACTTAAAAGTTAGCAGTACTAGGTAACGCAAGTAGACCGGCTATTTTCCTATCCGAATTGTCGTTACGCCTAGTAAAGCAAATAAGATGGAAAATGAAACAAAACTAAATACAAATAAACAAGTCTCGTGAGAAATTAATAATGAATTAAACGGAAAGCTGCTTAGTAGCAAAGGTAATGCTGGGGATAATTAAGAAATGATAGGTGCTGGATTAATATGTGGTTGGTTAGCGAGTTCTCGGGGAAAAGTGTTCTGTGAAATACAAAATCCTGCTTTTATAGGGGCAAGGAGAAGCAAAAACAAGTGGGGAAGTAAAAATGGATTTAATTTCGTAGCACGCGAGATCTAACGGAGGAATTTTACAACACTTACTACACGGTGTTCACAAACACAATTTCTACGTTACCAATTGCGATTCTTCTCAAATAGTGACGAGGACAAAATTGAAAATATTTTAAAGAACGAGAACTTGACACTAAATTTCACAACAGGACCGAGAAATTGTGACGTTTTAGAAGCAGCGAAAGAATTACAAGAAAAATTACTACTTTTAGACAAAATAGGTATACAAAATCCATCTAGTGCAATATATTACACGAACTAATTATGGATAACTTGTAATTCAACAAGCAAGACGTTAAAATTCTTGCAAACCAACGTTTTAATAGAAAACAGTAACACACGAAATAATCAAAATTTGTCTTAATATATTTAGTACAAGAGAAATATAAGCTTAAAAAAAAGTAGTTAATTACCAGAAGTATCATCAGTGTTTAATAAAGAAATGGAAATATTCAAATTTAAACAATCAACCTTTGAAATGGTTCAGGTTGGTTAAAATGAATGCTTCAGGATTATGTTTTAACAAACAGTATTAAAGTAATTGCTAATATATTACATTTCGTTGGCCGCATCTTTATTGTATTGCCTATTCAACAGTAGTCAGCGAGGTAGTCAGCACGTAAAAAAATGAAAAATTCGAAAATGAATTGAAAAAAATTTTAGCGAAATAACGGACCAAAAAAATATAAAAAATATTTTGATACAAAACAATATGTATTGTTGTGTAACCTACGTCATGCGGATGTTTTATTTGCTTTCAGCACCTACAGGCTACAATAATGTTGGGTTACCCTGTATGTGTCTCATTACAATTATATAATAATAAAATAAAGAGTTATCTCCGGTCGATGTTTTTGGCCGACGTAAGCACAGATCTTTATTTGGACGCTGTAATAAGAAGGAGTAGATGGTTCGAAAAGCGGAACTGAGAGAGGAAAGATTGTTTTAAATAACAGAGGAAAACGTGAATCGTAGCTTTCTGTGGTAGAAGCCTTGTCAGTTGGAAAGTTTTGTAGAAAAGTTAGTTGAGTGCTCTAAGAGATTGTTAAAAGTTACCGTTTAAGTCGAACTAAAGACGTGAAGTAGGTATGTAGGAATGTTGTGTTTATCGACCACTCACTTATTTCTTATGTAAATCCCTTCTTTAAGGTCTTGTATTCAGTTAAACTCAGTTAAAAGAAGTTTTTCCACCGTCAAAAAGCCAATATTACATCTGTAATTCAAAAAAAAGCCAGTGCCGTCTAAATTAAATCGCCCTTCCCGTTTTACGCCCGAAAACTTTTTCGAATCTTCTTTCGAAAACAGATTGTCCCGGATTATTTATTACCACTATAACGGACATTTCTGTAACTTCTTATCACTCGAAGGTAATTTTAAATCGTATCCCTTTTTAAATTTATTTCATTCACGATCGAAAACCAAGCTGTAGAAGTCTCGTTAGCTGACCCCGATGGTTTGTATCGTTCAGTTACTGCGTTGAAAGTACCCTCAGTTTTAATGAGTGACTGAATGCGCTTTTAGTGTGGTAGGAGAGTGTAACGTGGGAATGCCAACATTGATTTTCGAATCGTTGATCGATATCGGTCGATTAGCTGGAACTGATCTAACACATGGTATCTTAGATTGACGAACTGCTACTCCTATGATTATCTGAAATACCGGAGCTACTAACGGGCAGGTAAACTATAAAGTGCCTTTGTGGTTTTTCTTACCGTTTATCATTGCCACTGCCATGAAGAATTGCTCTACAATTGATCACCTGAATACTGAAGTTGCGGAAGTACAATTAACTGTAAAGTTTCCTGACATTCCCTTGTCGTTAATGTTAACGTGAAGTAATTAAGTTAGATAGTTATTTTCTATATGTAAAGGAGAATTGCAAATAGATTTATTGTTTTATGCAATGTTAAATGTCATATGTGTATATACAGTGCTATTTATTTAGAAGTAGACAGGGAGTTCCTATGTCTACTTTTAAATGACAAAAATCCTTCTGAAAGACGCCTAATTTTATACAACCAAAATAACATGCTCACGCATTTTGCATTATCATTCTCGATTTTAATAAAAATCGACAGTAAATAGTATGCTTTTAGTTTAACCCCCACCCCTTGACGCAAATTTTTTCCACCAATCAACTAACTTCAAACATCCAATCAGATTCATTGATGGCTGTTCAACCCGTGGCCCGCAAGATTCTCGATGCAAAATAATTTTCATAAATATTTTGTTTTATTTCATTTTACATTACATTACTTACGGTAAGTTAAGAGTAGCTTTTAATGTCACTTTGGCCCGCTGACAACAAACGCGGTCTCGTAGAAGAACGCTGTAGAAAGACATGAAGTGTACGTTAACCTACCGGGGCCGTTGTTGTATGTAACAACTTTAAGGCTCCTCTGTAGTCAATCAGCCATATTGGAAAAATAGCTAAACTTTCTTATGAAATGCTGCTTTTGTAGTTGAAGTCTAACAAATTCTCGATAGTGGATATTCTTTGCAATGATGAAAAGAACGGCGGTACTAAATTTATCAGTTTCCTCAGATAATCCAGTATGCGGAGCAGTCAGAAGGGCCGATTCCTGCAAAATGTGGTGTAAACGAGCCAAATAACATGTATTTGAAGAGTGCACACCAATTTTTTCTCGGCACAACTTTTGCCAGCCAAAAAACCTCAAAACGTTCGGACTTTTTTCAATTTTTCGCTTAAAACTCGAAAACGGTCCATATTTTATGAATAACACTTCTTTAGTAAATTAAAGAAAACAAAATTCTGCGTCGATCAAAAAAAAAACAACCAAAATCGGCCCAATAGAAAATTTTTTACAAGCGATCAAAAAACGCCCATTTTTTCCAACTTTTCTAAAGAAGTGAGTTAACCTTTTTTTAATGCGTTGTGGCTCCTAAGGAACGATAAAATCCACTACCCCCGCTCCCTAAAGATTGTAGAACATCAATCAGAGAGTTCAAAAAGTACCAACAATTTAAAATTGGACCAATTTTTGAAATTCGTTGGAAAAAATGGGCGTTTTTTGATCGCTTGTAAACATTTTTCTATTGGACCGATTTTGTTTGTTTTTTTTGATCGACGCATAATTTTGAATTTCTTTAATTTTCTAAAGAAGTGTTATTCATAAAATATGGACCGTTTTCGAGTTTTAAGCGAAAAACTAAAAAAATGCCAAAAATTTTGAGGTTTTTTGGCTGCCAAAAGTTGTGCCGGGAAAAAATTTGTGCGTACTCTTCAAATACATGTTATTTGGACCCAAATGGACCATTTAAAACAATAAAATCTTTTACACCACCTTTTGCAGGTCAAAATTATCTGCATACTGGACTAAGAGTAAGTCTTCGTGAAAATTATCTATTTCGAGAAATGCGACCAAAAGCAAAAGATGCACATGCCCTTTGCTTTCCATAAAGTTGCGCCCAATAGATAACAAATGACACATGACACGCATTTTTTCACATATTAGCGGTACATACATTTTATTTTTACCATTGAATTCAGGGCAAAAAAGTGAAGTCATCTTACCGCACAAAAGACGTTCGGAAAAATTCTCCATGGGTCGTGCATAGATATAAATAAGTAAATCGCTAAATGTACAATTGTTATTAATTTTTGAAAAGATAAGGATTTATTTAGAATCAGTATAAATGTTATACTTTTAATCATTGTAACAGAATTTTAAATGTTAGCTACCATTTTTATGAAAAACATACAATTTTTGTTGTTGTTCACCCTTGTATATAAGTAAAGAAAGATTTATTTTAGGTGTTCGAAGTGCCGGTTTTTTTAGGATCTACCATACCTAAGTGAATTCATTCATGCACATGTACCTAATAACTATAAAAATCTATAAATCAGTAAAAATGATTAGAACAATAGAAATAAAGGGGTAATTAAAAAATGTTATAACAAACAATGCTAATCTAGTCCACTAATTACCTAAAAACCAGGTAATTACAGAAGGTGTCATTATAGAAAAATGCAGTAAATGCATTGAATAAGTAATTTATTCAACGGTAACTTGTGCATCTCCAGTCAAATATTGTACAGCTTTTCGATAAACTTGTTTACATAATTAGTCCTTGATCATTATACATGGTTTATTGTGTTTAACCATAAATGAAGACGCGTGTTTTCGATGGGTAGTCTACT